GCCCGTCGTCAAGAAGAACATGTGCAAGAAGATGTTCCAGGAACGCATGACAGTCGAGCTCCAGTCCATGACCGACGTCACCTTCTTCTTTGAGATGGTGTGGCCATGGCCCACATCCCCTCAGGAAGCGGGCCTCACCTTCACTGCGGATTCGCCGAAGCTCCACTTCATTGACCTCGAGATGGCCGAGAAGATCCGCATGTTCAACCAGAGTTTCATCAGCGGCGTGTACACTGCACTGATCGAGGGAGGCCACAAGAAGAAGGATATGCTCGTGACGATTTCTTCTCGGATGGCTTCGCTGATGGACGATCTGCTGGCCGACGCAGAGGAGTTCTGCGAGGGCGCGTCGCACTTCTTGGGCGCGCTGGGCTCCATGGTGGGCGGCGTCGCCAAGATCTGCGACCCGACCAGCCCGTGGAAGGCGGACGACATCGACGCCTTCTACAGCGACATCCTCTCCCTCGACCCCAACCGCGGGGACATCTTCAGCGGGCTGGAGGGGGTGGCGATCGCCATCGGCGCGTGCGCCGAGTACAACAAGACGTGGACGACCCTGATGAAGGACAAAGTCATGGTCATGGAGCTCGCCCCCCAGGTTTCAGCATCCATGTCCGCCCTCTTGTCGGTGGCGCGCAGCCCCCTGGACTTCGACGGGGCGGTTGCTGCGGCCGCCGCGGCGTTGAGCACCATCCCGAAAGTCGCGTGCTCCCTGGACGACGAGCTCGCGACCCCCGTCGTCAAGGAGGCGAAGGCCGTGCTGAAAGATTTGTCGGCCAGCGTCGCCTCAGCCACGTCGACGGGGTCATTGGCGCAGACGCAGCAGAGCACGTTCATCCAGCTGTTGGGCAAGGCGGTCGACGCCATGCCGTCGGACGTCGAGCTTCTGAAGATGAAGACGGATATGGACGAAGCCGACGCCTCCATGGCCCGCGATGCCATCAGGGCCCAGTTGACCACGCTGGTCAACGACATATTCGCTGACACGGTGACCGCGGTCAACCTTCGCGACGACTTGCGCCTTATCATGGACAAGATGACAAAGGACGACTTGGATTCGACGATGACTGCGAAGCTCGGCGAGTGCGCCTGCGTCCTCATCAAGAAGATCTTGACGGTGCCCGAGGGGAACAAGGAGATGGCGGACGCCGCGATGCAGGCAGCGCACCACTTGCACGACTTCCTGCCGAGCACGGCCACGAAGGGACAGCAGCGGAGCTTGGAGGCATCGAGCGCATGTCGGTCGCTGAGGCCGACCACGGAGTCGATCGTCCAGAAGTTCTTCGACGATGAGAAGAAGCTCATCGCGGAGCAGGTGGATCTCGGGGACCCGCAGCTTGCCCTCCTGCGCGTCCTCCTGGAGAAGCTGGACGCCTACATCAAGGACGAGGCCGACTCGGACATCAGCTTGCACGAGCACATGAGGGCGCAGATCCACCAGTACGTGGAGGACGCGAGGCGCGTGGTGAAGACGGTGGGCCAGCACGCCGTCGACGTGGCATCGGCCGAGACCCAGACGACAGCGGCGAAGATCGAGCCCTACATGCACGGCCTCCCCGACGGCGCGGACTGGTTGAGCGCTGGTCCAGCCAACCTCCACGTGTGGAAAAACTTGGCGGTCCACGCCGACAGCACGATCTTGTCCACGGAGATGAGCAAGACCATCGCCCCCTTGAAGAAGAATGTGGACGCTGCCGAGAAGGCGGCTGTGTGCCCCCCCAGTTATGTTGGTGCAAACGTGCTCGGGCTCACGCCCGACGTATCTTTGTGTTTGTTTATTAAGTTGTTCAGTGGGTCGCAGATGGGTTTCGAGGAGGAAGGTGAAAGAAGGAAAGCCGCGCACCAGTTAGCTTAAGATACCGCTGCATGGCCTTCCCTCCTTCACCTCCCTCTTGGAAGGCGCTGGCCCGCTGGAAGTCCGAGGGTGAGAAATACGGATTGCGCATCGAGGGGGATCAGAACTACCAGAAGGTGTCAGAGATCATCACCAACGCGTGGGTGACTCTTGTGACAGGCAGTTTGTTCATGGCTTTTAAGAAAGCGACTGACAAGCAGTTGCTGAGGGCTACGATCGTAAAGACGACGAGTGCCCTCAAGGAGCGTGGCATTTCGCAGGACCGTTTGCATCCAACCCTGTTGGCGCGGGTGCAGCTGGCCATGCAATTCAAAATGTGTAGTTAGGTTTCCTGGGGCCGAGTGGTGCGGTGAAACGAGCTGCCATTTTGGCGTTCGGCACGCAGCGAGCGCACGCAGACGCCGCGCGTGCATGTCAGCACGGGTGCTGGGTGCGCGTGTAGAAAACACTGCAGCACCCTCCCCCGCAGCGTGCAAGCACGCAGCACGACAGAGAGGTACACACACACACACACACACACACACACACACACACACACACACACACACACGCACGCGCAGGCTCGGCCCAGGTCCCAGCCCGCAGACAGCATGCGGGCTGACAGTTACGAGTTGCGAGTCGGTCCGCATCGGGGCCTGACTGGACTCAGTCAGGACGCGGTATCTCCAGCTCTCTAGGCCAGAGGAGAAAAACACGTGTGGCGGGGGTGCGTATTTCTCTTCCCCACTCTCCCGCCCACCCCACCCCCCCGATCCCCCACCGGCCTAACCCCTGCCCCCCGCTCCCCGCCCCCGCGGATCTCGAGCCGTCGCCACCTACCCCCCCTCCGCGCCCGACAGAGTCAGAGGGGCCCGACGGGCCGACGGGGTGCCCCCGCGGCTGCGTCCGACGCCCCTGGCATCGCCAGAGGGCGAAGTCAGCCGCGTCGAGGCGGCGGGGAAGGGGGGGGCGGAGGAGGAGGAGGAGAAGGAGGCGGAGGAGTGGAACAGAGACGGAAGGGAGGAGAAGGAAGGATGGTGGAATGAGAAAATGGAACAAGGCGTGATGACGGCGGGGCCTCTCCTTTTTCCCTTCTCCCGCCTCCCTTCGTCCGCCCCGCCCCCCTCTCCCTTTTCCCTCCTCACCCCTTCCCCCACCCCTCTCCCCTTCGCCCTCATGTCCCTCCCCTTCCCCATCCCCCTCCCTCTTCCTCCTCCCCCTTTTGCTCCTCCCCCTCCTCATCCTCTCCCCCTCCTCACCTTTCTCTTCCCCCAACTTTGCTTACCCTGGGGCCCGTGCGCTCCGTTTTCTTGTTCATTATTGGCAGCGTTGCGTTTCTTCCCCTCCGAGGCCTCACGATATTTCCCATTATGCTCCTTCCTCGAGGCCTTTCTGGCTTTCCTGTCCGCCTCCTTGTCATTGTTACAATGTACAATGGCAAGGAGGTGATGTTTTTGTTCGTTGAGTTCTTTGCATCGGTCTGAGAGCCATTAGTTCTTGTTCTCCATCTCGTCTGTTTTCATCGTGAGTTGGCACGCGACCTTAGCCCCCCCGCCTCCTCCCCCCCCTCCCTCCCCCCTCCTCTCCCCCCCCTTCTCCCCCCCTCTTGCCTCCTGCTTCCCGCCCCGCCCGCGGCCACCCGAGGGGGCAGGCCGCCACGGGCGGCCCGAGGGCGCCGCCGCGCCAGCGGGGGGGGGCACCCGAGCGGCCGTCGCCGCCGTCGTCGCCGCCGCCGTCGCCGCCGCCGAACCCCCCCTCTTACTCCCCACCCCCTCTCATTCCGAGTGGGCCGACGCTTTTTCCCGCCAGGAGCCCGCGGTGCGAAGGTGCCTAAGGCGAGAGCGCGATTCCGAAAACCAGCGCGTGTCCGAGTGGGCCCTCGGGCCGCAGGCAACCGCTGCCGCTGGCGCCTTCGGTGGAGCTCTCTATGAAGGCGCGGAACGTGTGAGCGCGCCGAAGTGGACCCTCGGACCGAATGCGACCGCTGGCAATGGGGCCTCCGATGGAACTCCCTATGGGGCTCCGCCGCTATGCCCTCGCACCCCCCCTCCCCAGACCACCCCGCTGCCCCCGCCCCTCCCTCCTCATCCATCCCCCTCCACTCCGTCCGTGGCCATTTTGGCTCAAGGCCGCCTGGCTCCAAAGCGGCCTGCGCGTGGCCCGAGCGCGAGCTCGCGTCCGTGGGTGCCCCCCCTTGCGCAGGTTCTTGCGCCTCGCGTTGGCTTCCTGATGTGCCGCGCGTTGGTTCGGCAGCGCGCGGCACGGGTGCTCTGCCCCCAGCCCGCCGCCCACTCGGCGGGGCGGGTTTGCGAAATTGCGCGCGGCGTGGCAGCGCCGAGTATCGCCTGAGCGGCCTGCGCTTTTTTTTTTGCGCGACAGTGTCGCCGCGACACTGTTTTGAGACTCCTGAGCGCCGCGGCCTGCAGACTGTTTTGACACTCTTGACTACACTTTCCAGCAAAACCTCCATATCCCTCCTGGAGGAGGCCGCTGCCATCATAACTCCTCCTGCCTCCCCCCTCCCCCCCTCCTCCTCCTCCTCCTCCTCCTCCTCCTCCTCCTCCTCCTCCTCCTCCTCCTCCTCCTTTTCCTCCTCCTCCTCCTCCTCCTCCTCCTCCTCCTCCTCTCCTCCTCTTCCTCCTCCTCCTCCTCCCTTCTCCTCCCTCCTTTCTCCTCCTCCTCTCCTCCTCCTTCTCCTCCTCCTGTCCTCCTCCTCCTCCTCCTCCTCAATGTCCTCATCCTCCTCCTCCTACTCCTCCTTCTCCTCCTAACCCCCCCCCTCCTCCTCACTATCCTCCAGCTCCTCCTCATCCTCCACCTCCTCCTCCTCCCTCCTCCTCCGCATCGATCTCCTCCTCCCTCTCGACGCCCTCCCCTCCTCTCGCCCCTGCCACTGTTCCTCCAGCGGGGCGGCGAGGAGAGCGGCGCGCCCCCCGCCCACCGCGCCCCAGTGGGGGGGGGGGGGCGGTGGGGCCCGAGAAAGAAGAACATCCCTCAAAGACAAGAGGCCCTGCACCAGCCAAAACACCCCGAACCAGAAGCTCACTCGAGGGTGCCCTCCCCCAGGGTGCGCACGTCCACCCAACGAGCTCAGAGACCACGGGGGCACCCTCCCCGAACCGACCTCGATCACATACCTCGGGCAGACCGTAGCGCGCGCGGGGACCTTCTGCACATTGTCGCTCTTCTTGTTCATCAGCTCCTCCACGTTCAGGCTCCTGGAATCGGGCCCACGCCAGCATGGATTGGAGAAGGCACTCCCTGAACCATGAGGCCAATGCCGCCCCATTTGGCGGCGGAGCGCGCCGAATTCTTATGGCAACATGACCCGTCGCTAATCCACGCTCCTGAATTCATGTTTGCGTTTCCTCGATGGAGTGGGGGAACGAACTTCAGAGTCGTCGTGCTACCATTGGGACCCTCTCTCTGGCTCCTCCCTCCTGGTCCGTCCCTCCCCCTCCATAGTCTCTTGATTCTCCCCCTGCTCCATCGCCCCTCCTTCCAATCCACCCTCTTCCTCCCTTGTCCTCCGACTCCTCCACCCCCCGCTACCCGCCTGCTTTTATAGACTGACCTGACCTCCCCACCCCCCTTGGTAACTTGTCCCCTTTCGCCCCATTCTCTTCCTGACCGACCCTCCACCCGCCGACCCTCTCCAGGGGCAGTGAACCTCGTCACGTTGCCCCGAGCTCAGGCGATTGCGAAAGTGTCCAAGAAGGCTCGGGGAAACAAAGGAGCGAACAAGACGCTGCGGCCCTGCCGAGCGAGTTCAAGGGGAATCATGCGGGCATCAGTCGCAAAGGTCCAGTAGCCAAAATTGCGCACATCTTCATCACGTTCCTCTTCTGTCACCTGTCCCCTCCTCCCTCATCGTGCCCAACCTCTGCACAGCGTCACTGCTCGCATGCATCCCCCTCCGTACCACTGCTCCCGCAACGGAATGAAGAGGACGCTGCCAAAAAGCATGGACGCGACGCGGAGACACCCTGGGCTCCGGCGTGTCCATCCGGTGGGGCCCCCGCGAGCCTGCGGGAGCCTCCCAAGCAGCCTCCGAGGGCCTGGAGAACAGTCCAAGAGCGCTCGGAGGCACAAAATCAGCCGTGAGGCCTCCGTCGCTCCTTCACCTGGTGTACCTCTCCAGCCAAAAGTGCACCCTGACTCGGACGTGTGCACTCTCAATTTGCCCTCCTTCGAACACCTGAGCAGGTGCTCAAGGGAGAGCAGATGTCGAGCATGCGAGACACGTGCTCGATGTTCTGAGGTTGCTCGGAGCAACCCAAGAACACCGCAACGAATCGCGCTTCTCTGAAGACCATCGACTTGGCACAAACCTCTAGCTGCGGTTCGTGCTGCCGTGCTGATCCCTGCTACTGTTACTCGTGTCACTCGCCTCCTCTGCAACTTCGTCGGCACCTGTTGTCCCCTCCTCCCCTTGCATGGGTGCATGGGTAAAAGGGTGCAGAGGAGAAAGAACGAAACAACATCCTCGAATACTTGAAGCAAGTGCGCCAAGACGGAAGACGAGGCAAACTCACTACCAACATCTGGGGTATGCGGGATGCGGCTTCGTGGGATACGGACACATGGGATGACCCGCAAAAACACCCCAAACTAACCGTAGAATGCATACACCACCACCAACAACAACAATGTCGGGGTCCAGATTGACCCAACAGTTCCGTGATAACGCCTCCTACACAAACATCCTCGAGCATCGAGGATGGAGCAAGAGGCGTGCCCCTCGACTATGTGGTTGTCGTGGAAGCCATCCTCTGAGAGGCAGGTGGGCAGCATGGGGGGCAAGCGGCAAGCGTCTTGTTCTCATCGATGTCTAAGGAATTGAACAGGCCGTCGACTTTCTCGTTTATGTCCTGGCGGCAGCAGGGTCAACGAGGGGAGCGCGCACGGGCGGAGCAGATCGAGTGAAGTCATGAACAAGCGGATCGACTGGCAAAGAGGGGGGAGGAAGTGAGAGGGTGAGAGGGGCTCCAGCTAAGAAAATCACATGGTCGGCAAGAGACTCGGCGTGCCGACGCCCAGCACTTCCACGCCGTGAGATGCTGGTCTCTCTTGGTGTACACTATACACGACACACTCCTTCGCCGAGCTCCCTGGCCTGCCAGACGACGTGGTGTGTCGAACCCCTCCCAGGAAGAAGAGGAGTCGGTGGAAACCCACGTCCAATACAACGGTACAACGGTACCCGCGGGCATCCGTGGCAGTGGAGGCACCAGGACCCGGGGTGGGGGCGAGAACTCGGCAGCCTTCGAGGCTGGCGCTCCGGCGTGGGCCGCTCCCCAAACAATCCCCCCTCCCAGTCGAAGGGCACCTTCCCGGCAACTCTGCCGTACCTCTATCGTGGTCGGGGGTCTCGATCTTGGCGATCTAGACGAGCGCGTTCCACTACTCGCAAAGTGACTACTCGCAAATGGCCTGGATCCGCCGCGGGCGATCTACGATTAATTACATCAAAGCAGGCATATGTGTTTTCGGACGTTTGCGAGTAGGCACTTTGCGAGTAGTGGATAGTGGTCGGCGACTATCTGCGAGGAGGAGGAGGAGGAGGAGGAGGAGGAGGAGGAGAAGGAGGGCCACGTAGGCTGGGCCAGGCCCCTGACGGCACGAGGGCGCGCGCAGCGAGCAGACCGTGCAACGGTTGGGACGCGGCCCATGGACCCAGCCAGTCATCGCTCGTGCCATGTCAGCCCACCGTTGCTGAGGCCGCGCCGACCGTCCGGCGGCCCGCATTCTGGGCCGTCGGAGAGGGGCGCGGGGAAGGGACACCAGCGCTTTCGCTTCGGGTGCGCCGAAATGGGGGGCCGGACGGGAGGGGGGACAAAGGTTGCACTGAAAGAAGAAGAAGGATGGGCGATGAGATCTGGGACATCCCGCGGCCCAGAAGCGCGCCACGGGAGATCGAGCAACAGAGGGGGGGCCCTCCTGAAGCAGCCCCCCATCCTTCCGAAGGGGCCTTTTTTGGCTCCCGCCCGTTTCGGCTCCTGCCCGTTTCGGCTTCATCGGTCCCTTACGCTCTGGCTGGTTTGGCCCTGCCCGTTTTGACTTCAGCCCGTTTCGTCCTGGCCCGTTTCGGATCGAGCATGGATTTGATTCGCCCAGGGGAACGTCCGCTAACGAGGGTGGAGGGCCCCCCCTTGGAGGTAACAGTAACGTGGTTGGACCCGTGGTCGGACCCGACGACGACGATGACGACGAGGACGAGGACGACGACGAAGACGAGGACGAGGGCAATGACGAAGACGAGGACGATGTGGACGAAGACGACGGAAGAATTTGAAGGTCTCTGGAGATCTCCGCAGGCCTGAGGAGATCCAAGGAGTCCTCCAGAGCGCCTGGAAGCCCTTCGAGGCCCTCGGAGACGACGACGACGTCGACGACGATGACGACGACGACGACGAAGACGACGGCGGAGGCGACAACGACGACGGCGGAGACGACGACGACGACGAGGAGGACCAGGACGACGAAGAGGACGAGGACGAGGACGAGGGCAAGGACGACGGCGACGACGAGGACGAGGACGATGATGAGGACGAGGACGAGGACGATGACGAGGGCAAGAACGGAGACGAGGACGAGGACGTGGAGAAAGAGCAGGACGAGGACAACGACGACGACGGAAGCATTTGAAGGTCTCTGGAGGTCAATGGATGCATCCGGTCTCCAGACGCCTCTGGAGGTGTCTGGAGGCCCTTCGAGGCCCTCGGAGACGAGACGACGACGACAACGAAAACGATGATAACGAGGACCAGGACGACGACATGGACGACAACAACGACGACGACAATGAGGACGACGACGACGACGACGACAGCAACAACGACGACGACGAAGAGGACGAGGATACGGACAAGGCCAATGATGCCGACGACGACGAGGGCGACAACGACGACGAGGACGAGGGCGACGACAACAACAACGACGATGGCCGCCTCTGAAGGTCTCCAAAGGTCTCTCTGGAGGCCTCAGGAGATCCCCGGAGGATGAGGACGACGACGAGGATGAGGACGACGACGACGAGGACGACGACGATGACGAAGAGGACGACGACGAGAACGACGAGGACGACGACGTGCCGAGGACGACGACGACGAACGATTTCGACCACGACGACGACGACAACGTCGACGACGACGATTTCGACGACGACGACGCGAACGACAAAGGTGAAAACGACGACGACGACGACGACGAAGGTGAAAACGACGACGACGACGACGACGGCGACGACAACGACGGCCACTCCGGAAGCGTCTGGAGGCTCTCCGAAGCCTGTCATCACCAAACCATGCCTGATAGGGCTTCAAAAAAAAAAATCTCGCCCAATCCGCTTCGTCCAGGTCCGTTGCAGCTCCATACCGTTTCGTCTTGGCCCGTTTCGGCTTCGGCCCGTTTCGGCTCTGGCCCATGTTGGGTTCGGCCCTCTCCGGCTCCAGCAAATTTTAGCTCACGGTGGCAGAGGCCTGATTCGGCTTCGGCTCATTCCGTACCGACCCGTTTCGCCTCCGCTCCGTTTCGTCCTGGCCAATTTCGGATCTGGCCCGTTTCGGCTCTTCCCTGAATGGCTTGGGTAGGTTCCGCTGTCGGCCGATGATTTGTTCTTGCATTCGTTGTGGCGCCTGCTCGGCCTATGGTGTTATAAAACTGACAAGCAAGTGCATGGAACACAGGGTTAGTGGTACTCTCACCTCTCTGCCCCGACGACGACGACGACGACATCGACTACGATGAACTGCCCCCCCCCTGGACCTCCCCAACCCCAAACCCACCGCCCTCTCCCCACTCCGCTCCTCCGTCTCTGGGCTTGACACTCATACAAATCCTCAAGAATCTCACGGAATTCTTTACGAAATACTTCGGATGCCCTCGAACGTCGAACGCACTTGTGGCGTGGCACCGGAGAGGGCGGACACACATCAACAACTGCTACGCACATCACATGGCAACACTGCAAGGGCGAACAACTAATAGGAAATGTGCTCGCCATCTGGCAACGCAGCGGGGCGGACAACATACCAACATACGCTACTCGTAATGTGGAAACACTGAGTGTGGAAACCACTACATAGTAATGATTCACCCCTCTGCTCCACATGAAGTCAACACGAGACGACGATAACGACCACGACAAGGACGATGACGACGACAGCGCGACGACGAGAGCGACATAGACGCAGACGAGAAGCACGACGACAAAGACGACAATGACTACAAGGACGACAGCGACGACGACGAGGATGACAACGACGACGACGACAGGACGACAACGACGAGTACGAGTACGAGTACGAGTACGAGTACGAGTACGAGTGCGAGTACGAGTACGTGGACGAGTACTGACTAACTACCAGACCACCCCAACCCAACCCGAAGACACGAATTTGACCGGAATTTCGGGTGGGGGGGGGTACGGGTTCGATGTGTTATTTTCACTGTTTCCCGACCCCCCCACTGGAAATGCAGGGCAAAACTGAGGCGTTCGGGATGGGTTGGGGTGCTTTGGAGGGTGGTGAAAAACGACGACGACGACGACAACGCGCGCAGATCCACAAAGAGGGAGGGGGTAGCTTCCGAAGCCCGGAAGCCCCCCCCCGTTGCAAACATGAGCCCATGCTCATCCTCAGCTCGGAAACGGGAGGGAGGGGGGGTTAGCCTCCGAGGTCCCCCCCCTGGGACCGGCGACCCCCTGCTTCGCAAAGGGAGGGCGGGTGTAGCTTCTGAGGCCCCGCCCGGGAGCCCGGGCTCACCCTGGAAGCACAGAGGGGGCGGGGAGGTCTAGATTCCGAAGACGCCCCCCCCCCCCTTTATACCAGGGGAGGGAGGGGGTAGCTTCCGAAGCCCTCCCCTCCTCCCCTTCCTCAAAGGGAGGCCCCAGCTTCGCAAAGAGAGAGGGGGGGGGAGCTTCGGACCCCCCCCCCGTTGGGAAGGAGGGGGGGTGAGGTAGCTTGAAGCTGGGCCCCCCCTTTTTTTCGTCCCGTCTCCCGCAGCGTGCTCTTTCCGAGATAACCACCCCAAACCCAGTCCCCAACACTCTCGCCGACGCCCAATGCCGCTGCTGTTGCGAAAGGCTGTGCTCATCATGAGCCGGGCACCCATGGCGGCGGTCGCCTGCCCAACCTCGGTTGGGATTACGTTTTTCCCATCCTACTTAAGGACCACATCCCAGAAATAATTTCGAGCACCCGAAACAATGTCGAAAGAGTGTCGAAACAGTGTCGGGCGAGTGTCTCCCAGGGCATGACACGTGAAAACCCTCAAGTTTCGGTACTTTTTCTGGCGCTCGAAATTCTTTCTGGTGATCAAGGCTATAATTGCTTGGAGCATCATACGCCGTGGAGCCCATGTGCACTGGAGCTTCCCTAATCACACCTGCTGGCCGATCGTGGACTGACGGTGAAGACGGACCGTTGGCCGTTCTCCTGGGTTGCAGTCTGTGGGGCCTGCCCCCGCTGTTGACCTTGGGGCGCGAACACGGAATCGTTCCTGCCCGCCACCGCGCGCGCGGACGACGGGGCGCGTTCGCGTATTTTGATGCCTGGCTGCTGTCCGGAAACCAATCGGTGCTGAGCCATGTGCCGTGAAGCGCGCGGGTAGGAGAATGCCCGCAAACTATCTCGGTGATGAGGACCAGCTGCCGGCAATGTGCCCGAGTCTGAGGTTCTCAAAGGGCGACGGCCGCCCCCCCGCCCGCCCTCACGGCTACCTCGTGACAGAGATCGTGCCCCCGACTCGACGTCGTCAGACCGATCCCAATCCCGACTGGGACAGCCTTGGAAGAGCTGACCGACCTGCTCCCGTAGCTGAGGATAGATGCCGCATCCGTCGGACTCCGCGGCATTCATCGCACATTGAA